ATTCTGCTTGGCCTGCTGTGTTCATCCAGCCCTGCACCTTGTTGCCTCGGATTCTCCAGCATCTGCAGTTCCTACTATCTCCCTAGAACTTTATCTGGATCTCTGGATTAACAGTCCAGTGATAATACCACTGGGCCATCACCTCCCCTCTACTAGTTCCACTATTCAATACAGCTATGACTTACCTATGGTTCGTTAGTTCGAAAACATTTCATTACCCTGCTGGGTAACGTCATCAGTGCAGCCTCCAATGAAGCGCTGTTGTGTTTTCCCGCCTAGTATTTAAACTCTGGGGTCCGTTGGATTTGATTACCTCATAAACACCTCATAAATAAATAAATCATGGCTGATCGTCCAACTCAATAGCCTAATCCTGCTTTCTCCCCATAACCTTTGATCCCATTCGCCCCAAGTGCTATATCTAACCACCTCTTGAATACGTTCAGTGTTTTGGCATGAACTACTTCCTGTGGTAATGAATTCCACAGGCTCATCGCCCTCTGGGTGAAGAAATGTCTCCTTATATCCATCTTAAATGGTCTACCCTGAATCCTCGGACTGTAATCCCTGGTTCTGGACACACCCACCATTGAGAACATCCACCCTATATCTACCCTGTCTAGTCCTGTTAGAATTTTATAAATCTCTTGAGATCCCTCCTCATTCATCTGAACTGCAGCGAAAGCAATCCTAACCTAGTCAATCACTCCTCATACATCAGACCTGCCGTCCCAGGAATCAGCCTGGTAAACCTCGAGATCAAGGGCATCCTTCCTCAGAAAATGAGACTAAAACTGCACACAGTATTCTAGGTGTGGCCTCACCAACGCACTTTATAACTGCAACAACACATCCCTGCTCCTGTACTTGAAACCTCTTGCAATGAAGGCCAACATACCAACATGCCTTCTTTACCATCTGCTGCACCTACATGCATACCTTCAGCGACTGGTGCACAAGGACACCTGGAGTTGGAGTTTGTCTGTTTACAGATTTTAAAGCATAGATTCGAGTGCAGGTCAGCTTTAGATGCCTGGCAGGAGAGGAAAGAAATCTGAGAGGCTGCCTTTTCTGTCTTCAGAAGGCTGTCACCAACAAATTTTGGCTGTGAACAAAAGCAGAAGTTGCTGGAAAAGCTCAGCAGGTCTGACAGCATCTGTGAAGAGAAATCAGAGTTAACGTTTTGGGCCCGGTGACCCTTCCCTAGAGTTCTGAGGAATGTTAACCCGAAATGTTAACTCTGATTTCTCTTCACCGATGCAACCAGACCTGATGAGCATTTCCAGCAACTTCTGTTTTTGTTTCTGATTTACAGCATCTGTAATTCTTTTGGTTTTTATAAGGCATGGGTGTAGTTTAACAAAGATCCCACTTTGTGAAGAAGGAAATGGAGCAGAAGAGATCTGCATTTTCTTGTGTGGCCTGGAGAAACATTTCTTCCAAACATTCTGGTTCCAACTAGGGAAAGTTCCTTTAAAAAAAGTTTTATTCATTTGTAATCAAGTGTGAAGTTCAGATAACTGGATGCATCTCAGGCCAGTTTCGACATAACTGGCTGCATGTGAGTTACATAATTTGCTGTAGTTAGTAGGATGTAGAAGACTTTGTTTGATTCAGCATAAAGATAAGATTTTTGAAACAGTTAAAGTAGAAGCCAGTAAATAATTGACAACATTCATAAATAAAATAAATGGGTGCAAAATATTGAAAGGATTTTAGTTAGGCAATCTGAAAGAATTTGTATTGACAATATGTTACACCAATGCAGTGTCTGTGCCATGCCTCAGTGTAAATCTCAATGTTTTTGTCTTTAGGTTCCTTATGGCTCTGTTCAGGAAATGCATCGTACCATTTACTCGTACAACAGAAATAATGAACGAAATGTTCAGGTACTGCACATTCCTTTTGCCTATCAATCCTGGGATTCCAGTCTGCCTCCAAAAGGTTATTGTTGCTGTTTAAAAAGGCCAGCTTCTTTCAAACCTATACTGAAAGAAAGACTTACATTTCTAAAGCGCTTATCACTTTCTCCGAAACATCACGAGATAATTCGGACGCAGTGAATTTCTTAAATGCAGTTACTGATGTTATATATGCAAACATGACAGTTGTTTATGCACACCAGATTGCACAAACACCAATGATTTAATTGGTCTGTTAATCTGTTGGTTGAGGGATCTTTCACGTGTAATAGAGCAGACAGGCAGCGCCTCATTTTAGCACGTGAATGAATTGAATGGAATTTACAGTAGTAAGACATAAACATAATCCTGCCTTACTTGATCTAACCATATCAGCATTGCATTTAATTCAATTTTCCCTTGTCCTACACTATTCACCTCAACAACTCTTCATGGTAGCATGTCCCATGTTGTAACCAATTTTTGAGTAAGGCATTTTGCCTTGAATTTTTTATTGGATTCATTAGTGACTACGTTCTATTTATGACATCTAGTTTGGGTCTTGTGCATAGGTGGAAACATTTTATTTATCTTCTTGAATCTCTCTAATTATAGGAACTTCAATTTGGTCATCTTTCAGATGTTTCTTTTCTGGACAAAAAGCCTCCAGTCTGTTCAGTGTTTCTTGACAGATGATGCCTGTGATGTTATACCTATGTAAATCATTTTTTGCCCTTACCTCTGCCTCTGTTTCCTTTTGATAATGTGGAAATCAGAACCATTAATTACAATCTAACCAAGGGCCCATGCAAGTTGAGCATAATCTTTTACCCTTTTAGTTCTGAAATCAGAAATCAATCTTCATTTTTTTTTATTGGTCTTGTCATTGCTACACAGTAATTTATGAATGTATATCCCCAAGATCCATTTGCCTGTCTCTCTCACTTCAAAACTTATTTTGCAAAGTGTACATACATGCCATCAAAATGCACACCTCAAACTTATCTATATCGGAACAATTTTACCACTTGCACATCTATTCTGCACATTTTTTTAACATCTTGTATTTGCTAAATGAGACATGGAAGATTGATTGAATAGTGTCTAAAAAGGTAAGAAGGGTTTTCGGCGTCAAAACTGACATTGGTATCTATCTTCTCTAACATTTAAAAATACCCTTCATTCTCTCTCCATATTTCAGTACTTCAGCAGCCTGTACAGCCATACAGAAAATGACCAGAGTACGGGTAGTGGACAACAGTTCTCTTGGCAACACCCCTTATCATAGACCACCCAAATGCATCCATGTGTATACCAAAAATGGAATTGGTAAGGTTGGAGACAAAATATTACTGGCAATCAAAGGGCAAAAGAAGAAGGCATTGATCGTAGGTCATCGGATGCCTGGTCCAAGGATGACACCTAGATTCGACTCCAACAATGTGGTGCTCATTGAAGATAATGGGAACCCAATGGGGACGCGCATCAAAGTGCCAATCCCCACTAGCCTGCGTCAGATGGACGGTGATTATTCCAAAGTTTTGGCAATTGCTCAGAAATTTGTCTGATGGACTTGCTGAGTTACTGAGAGAATTATCAACAGTGGCTGTCATTTATGGAGAGAAGTAACTTTTACGTGCAGATCAAGCATGGCTTCCATTCTAGCCGTCTCGGACATTTGATGTTGCGAAAGTTAAAGTTGGTTCACTTATAACAGCTGTACATTTACACATTAAATATCTTGTACCTCACATGCCCTTGCCCATAAGCTTCACTTCCTGTTGTTTTCCATCTAGTTTACCATTGCAAATTGTTACACCTGCTATTTCACTCCAAATTTTTCTCAGCTGGCCTTATATAGTGGCCACAGCCTACAGCATGGTCTTTTTGATGTGTTACTGAAGCATTTTTTCCCTAATCTTGTCTCCATTTTGTAACTGACTGTGGGACAGGCTGAATGGGCTCCTCTTTGGATAAAACTATAGGAACATTGCTAATTAACAGCAAAATAGTTTTAAATAAAGTGCAAAGTTGTGGAGCTGATTTAAGACGAGAATCTGAGAATATGGTGCAGCTGCAAGTGGTAGGGAGAAGGTACTGGACACCCCAGAATATGGAAGTAGAGGAATTGCATTCTGTTTGGCATAGTACACCTTAGGGACGTTACTAAGGTAGAATGTAGAAATAAAAACAGCATATTATTTCAGTCAGAGATAGCAAGGACTGCAGATGCTGGAATCAGAGACTACGCAGTGTGGAGCTGGAGGAACACAGCAAGCCAGGCAGCATCAGAGGAGCAGGAAAGTTGACATGTAGGGTTGGGACCCTTCAGAAATGGGAAGGGAGAAGGGAGCTGGGAAATAAATAGAAAGAGGAGGGGTGGGGCTGGGGAAGGTAGGTGGGATGGGGATAGGTGAGTGCAGGTAGGGAGTGCTGGGGATTGGTCAGTGCAATGGGTGGGGCAGATAGGTGGGAGAGATGGACAGGTTATGTCAGGTCAAGGAGGTGGGACTGAGAGGGAGTGTTGGACATGGGATGAGGCCGGGGGTGGGGCGATTTTAAAACTGGTGAATTCCATGTTTAGGCCATCGGGCTGTAGGCTTCCGAGGCAGAATATGAGGTGTTGCTCCTCCAGTTTGCAGGTGGTGTCATTGTGATACTGGAGGAGGCCCAGCATGGGCATATCACCCAGAGAGTTGGAAGGGGAGTTAAAGTGGCTGGCAACCAGTAGGTGTTGTCATTTGTTGCGTACAGAGTGCAGATGCTCTATGAAACAGTCTCTGAGTCTACGCTTGGTCTCACTGATGTAGAATAGAAAGTGTCACAACATAACTGGTGGAGTGTGGTGTTACTCATGTGCTGCTGTCCAACAGCCATCACAAAACATATACAATCCCAGTGAGACCACCAAAATGGCCAATTTACCTGGCTGACTGCTGCTCAAGCCGAAAGCAATTCAGACCAGGTTATGTCAGCAAAAGAAAATATATTGTAACACTTTAGCCTCTACAAAAGCAGTGAAAGAAAGGATTTATAATCTACAACTGTGCAATTTAAAATATATCCCTTTGGAGTCCCAAATACAAAGCGCGCACAATCACGATTAAGACAGCCAAAAGGTATTTGGCTTAACCATATGCTATGGATTGGAAAAGAAGGCACAAGGTAAACAAAATGCTGGCAAACAAAAGATCAAAACATGGAAGGTAACATTCTCATACTCCTGTTGTTTTCAGCAAAGTTGACATGTCGTTCTCTTTAGGATTTTTAAAAATTCATTGTGGGATTCAGGCATCATTGTCAGCATTTAATGCCCATCTCTGGTTGTCCTCGAAGGTAATGGTAAGCTGCCATCTTGAACTACTGTAGTCCGAGAATTGTGGGTAGATCAACAATGCCACTAGAAAGGGAATTCAAGGATTTTGACACTGAAGGAAATGCAGTACATTTCCAAATCCGAATGGTGAGTATCTTGGAGGGGAACTTACAGGTGGTTGTATTCCCATTTATCTGCTGCCCTTGTCGTTCGAGATGGAATTGGTCGTGGGTTCAGAAGATGCTGCCTAATGAACTTTGGTGAATTTCTGCAGTGCGTCTTATAGATTTTTCACACTGCTAATGCCAGTCATTCTTGAATCCTATCGTTGATCAGGGTCTTCCTTGTCTCAGAATTCTTTCTTTGAAACTTCCTTGTGTTTTTTCCACAAATAGGACAGGAGAGATGGATGTTTTCTGTTTACAGGCTTTGGTGTGTCCTCTTGTCGGCTGCTCTTGGTGCTTACTGCTTTTTAACACATTGCAGATCAACTAATCAGAAGGCTATTGTCAGGCAGAATTTCTTTAACTCGAAAGATTTCCAGCGCTGCTCAGTCTTGAATTCTCCCTCTTGCAGCTTCAAAAGTAACCTTGCATTGCATAACTCAACATAATGCAGCACTTGATTATAAAGTTGCAAAACCTTCCTGACTGATGAACTTTCATTTCAGTTTCAAAAAAAAGTTGTTCGAAAAATGTAGTCTGTGACAAGAGCGATTGCAGACCTGAGATATGGAGGGTGTCTTGGTATACAAATCATAAAATATTAGTGTACATTTACAACAGGTGATAAGAATGCAAATGAAATTACTTATTTATTGAAATGGAATTAAATGTAAAAATAGGGATGTTTTGCTACAGTTGTACAAGACATTAGTGAGACCAAAACTGTCCACAGTTTTGGTTTTCTTTGTACTTATCAAAGTATACAAAATTCCCCAAGTTTCTGTCTGATAAACCTATGATAACAGAAAATATGGACCAGGCTACTGTACACAGATGAACAATCATGAAATTTTGTCATATTATTGTACTAGTTAGAACACTAATCCTTTATAAAACTTCCCTACACAAACACACACGTGCACGCGCACACGCACAAGATAAACAAAAGAATGGGGATTATGGTGAAGGGGAAAAAGGTGGATAGCAGTTCGGTGGCCCCAGTTCACAGAGTTCGGTGAGATGACCCTTTTGACTTGCTGTTCTTTTATTTTCTACATGCGATAAGATTTGGGAGCGATTAGCTCACTGGTCTGCCATTTGATATGGCAAATACGTTTATCATAGAATTCCTACAGTGCACACCGTTCGGCCCGTTGAGTCCACACTAACCCTCTGAAGGGTGACCCACCACCCGTTCATCCCTGTAAACCTGCATTTCCCATGGCTAATACATCGAGCCTGCTCACCTTTGGAGTGTGGGAGGAAACCGGAGCATCCACAGGAAACCCATGCAGATATGGGGAGAAGTTGCAAACTCCACACCGTCACCTGAGGCTGCAATTGAACTTGGGTCTGTGGTGCTGTGAGGTAGCAATGCTAACCACTGAGCCACCGTGCCACCCCAATAGGATTTCTCAATCTTATTCTGCCAACACTTTGTAACTTTTGATCCCCTTACCAATCAAGGCCTTATCCATCTCTGTCTTAAATATACTCCATTACAGCCTCCACAGCCCTCTGTGGCAACGTGCTGCACAGATTAACCACCCACTGCCTGAAGAAATTCCTCCTCAGTTCCCCTTCATTATGAGGCTAAACCTCGGATCTTAGTCTCTTCTACAAGTGGAAACATCTTCTCCATGTCCACTCTATTCAGCCCTTTCAGTATTTTGTACATTTCAATGCAATCCCCCTCATTCTTCTAAACTCCATCAACTCCAACGGTGTGTAGTTTTGTGGATTGGCCATGCTAAATTGCCCATAATATCCAGGGATGCAGGCTAGGTGGATTAACCATTGAAAATGCAGAGTTACAGTGATAGGGTTGGGGAGATGGTTCTGGGTGGGTTGCTGTTCAGAGGGTCAGCGTGGACCTGATGGGCCGAATAGTGTTCTTCTACATTATAGAGATTGTATGATTCTACAGAACCGGAGACCTAAACTGCCCCTGACATGAAAGCCCTTCATCCTTGGGATCATATTTGCAAGCCTCATCTGGATACCGTCCAATGCCAGTACATCCTTCCTTAGACGTGGGGCCCAAAATTGCTCACTGTGTTCCACATGTGGTCTGACCAAAACCTTATATAGCCTCAGCAGTACATCTCTGCTGTTGTTCTTGTCCTTTTGAAATGAATGCTAACATTGTATTTGCCATCCTAACTGCCAACTGAAACTGCATGTTAACCTTAAGAGAATCCTGAACTAGGACTCCCAAGTCCCTTCGTGCTTCAGATTTCTGAAACATTTTACTGTTTAGAAAATAGTCTTCTCTATTCTTATTACCAGAGTGCATAACCTTACACTTCCCCATATTGTATTCCATCTGCCACTCCTTTTTGCCCACTCTTCTTGCCCGCCAAAGTCGTTCTGAAAGACTCCCAGCTTCCTCAATGTAGTGATTGTAGAGAGGTCCGCCAGATGGATCTCATAGAATATGAGTTCCCTGATTGGGGAATTAATCTGGTCCAATCAAGGAATCCTGGCTGACAGATATGAACATGAGTGTCAGGGGTACTGCTCACTGTAGGAACCTGCTGTGTGCTGGGTCAGTGTCATGTACCATGCATGCGTAAAGAGTGATTTCGTGACATTATTACCGGCCTTTGTGGAGTTACCTCAGTGTTGATGAGAGTGGGATGCTGAGAGATCAGTTGGTATGTGGGATTAATGATGTGACCAGGCAAAAGAGCCCACTAGCTGAAGCCCAACTGGACTTCAAACAGACACTACAGCTGGCTTTTTTGTTAGAAAATGTGGCAAGTGGAACTAATGAGTTACAGCGTATGCTGATGGAAGTGGACACCCTCGCCAGGCTTTCTGAGCCTGGGGACACATGACTGAAGGCAATTGCATAGCCTCATTCAGGACATATCCTGAACAGAGGGATCCTAGGTCAGCCCACAGCAGAACCCCAAAACAAAGCTAAGCCTTGGCCAAACATGTCAAATTTTCTCAAGCATCTGGGCCGGCAGGCCATTGCAGTTGCTGCCGGTATACGGACACAACACAGCAAATGAGGCCCACTAGGCCTGAATTGATTAAGAGTACTCGTAGGTCGGTATTCAGGACAGTGCACACCCTGGAAAGTCCACTGTAGTTGGTTTGGAAAAGTTAAATTGCTTAGCAATGTCCAAATCAGAACCAATCAAAATAAATGCCTGGTTAAGTGGTCACCCAGTTATAGAGTCATAGGGTAGAGTCATAAGTAGTACAGCATAGAAACAGGCCCTTTGGCCCAAACTGGTCCATGCTGACCATGGTGCCCACT